AATGTTAATTGATTCACTGTATTTACTTTCATAGTGGTATTTGCATTGTATCAGGCTATTTTTAAAGGTGGTGACCACTGTTATAATCGTTGTTCGCCGACCATAATAGCAATAGCGTCAATATTTGTCCTTGGTGTTACAGCGACTGTGGTGAAATTAATAATGTTTGATCCGGTTGCAAAAGAACTAAAGTCACGTAAAACTTACAAAGGTGTATTTTATTAATTCGTGCATTTTATACACTGTGATTTCTATTTGTTCTGGGTTTAATAAACATAGAAACTTTTATTATTTTATTTTTTATAAAATATTTTGTCATTTATTAATTATTTTTATAAAATAATACTTGTTATGAGATTCAATTTTTTAAGTTAACTAGTTTAATTGTAATACGCACAACACGTTTTAATATATCCCGATGATTTTACATTAAAATATTTCTTGATACAATTATAATTAATTATAATTTTTATTTTTATTATAATAATAATTATAATTTAATTAATTATAATAAACTTGACTTTAAAACTAAGAAGGGAATTATTTGGGGTCCAAATTGCCAGCCTTATTGATAGTGGTATGAAAATGTGCAGAATTGTCAATAGATATCTTATATACCATCAAAATCGGCGAATGGCCAGAGACATTCGTGTAACGGCCAATTTTCAAATTGCACGTCTATGGGTTATTGCATTACATTCATGTGATCGACCATTCATTTTGTGAATCACCTTTTTAACCACAATTCAGATATGAATAATGTGGTTTATAGGATCGTTTGATGGTATATAAGATATCTGGTGACAATTCTGCACATTTTCATACCACTATCAATAAGGCTGGCAATTTGGACCCCAAATAATTCCCTCCTAAATGTGAATGGCTGGATAAAGAATATTTAATATATTTGTCATCTAAATAGATATATTTAATTGTTTTGTATATTATAAAAATTATGGCATTTATAATTATTAAAATTAAATTAATAAAATATTAAATAAATTCTGTCTTATAAACTAGCTTAATTATCAACAACCGCATAAGTGCATTGAGAAAACAACAAACTCGTACATTTTATAATAAATTGTAACTATTTACTAAAGTAGTGTATCTATTATTTATAAATGATCTAATAAAAATACATTTTATATTTATTAACAAATAACGTGCAACTATTTATACAACACTATTGCGTAACACATATGCAATAAAATGTCTATTTATAAAGTTAACTTTACAATAATTGCAAAAACAGAAAAAACTCTATGTATAAACCAGTCATGTTATGTAACATTACATTATATTAAACAACAATAGAGATATACTATTATAAAGTATTTCCAGTAATTTGTTTTCATAGCAAATGTTATTATAAACAACACAAAGGGTTTTGGCTAAAATAAGTGACAAGTAAAATGACCACGACAGAGAACAAACCACAAATATTAGCATTTGGCCCTCGTGGCCTTGCTAATATTAGTATCGCTATGGATAATAATGGTAAATCATCACCGGCTGTGGTGGACACAAATGATCAACATGATCATTATGACAGTTTTGATATACAAAATGGACATGTTAAGGATTATATGCTCGACTGGCTGGCGATATATGGTAATTATCTAAAGCAATTGAAATAATTGTCACTTTTTACAAATGTATAATGATCTAATTATATTGCCCATGTTGTGTTTAGTTTCCAAAACAATCACTATATGTTTGACATACGGCGTACAATTAATGCTGATCATACTAGGTAAGTTATATTTTACATTTACAACTTTTACTTTTATACCTCGTTACTTAAACGCCAATAACTATGACCAGGGTCAATCTATGTGACGGATTGTTACGCGGCCCCTGAACTGCCCATAATGGCAATAATAGTGGGCGCGGGTTACTCGGTGTGCTGGGTGGTTTACCGAAACACTGAGACTGGTAAATTGCACCCAGATTGTTAAATCAGCTTGCTACACTAGAACATCATGCGCGTTCATTGTTTGTAAGTATGATTTAATTTTATTTTGACAACAAATGTGCTAATTCTTGTTAATATTTAATAGTGCTAGTTGGATTAGTATAATCGTGCGATGTGCGTGCGATGTGCATATTATACGTGCGATGTGCATATTCACATATTGGCGATCATATTCAAACGTGCTGATCGCACCTGTTGCTACGTTTGCCATGACTGTGTTGGCGATCGTGATTAAATTAAAGTTGATCGACCCAGCTGCTAAAGTTCTAAAGTCGCGCAAAACCTACACTGGTGCTTTTTATTAATTTGGCATTTTTACTTTTTATTGTTTTTAAATTACGGATTTTATTCATAATATATACTTATACTCAAGCTAGATTAATTTGTGTAACCCAAGAATATCATTCTGCATTTTATGTAATCTCAAAATATGTTAAACCGCTAATGCTTTATTAAGTTTTAACCACAATTCAGTATGAATAATGTGGTTTATAGGATCGTTCTATGAAATAACCGAATAAATATCAACAATCATATTGGACAATTTTCAAAATATTAACTTAACAAAATAACAATGAAAAATTTTGATAAATGATGCTTTAATGTTGTATCAATGGTTTAAAAATTAAATTTTCAAAATACAATTATTAAACGCAATATCTATAAACTATCTGTTCTTTGAACACTACTCGAATTGTGGTTAACGTATAGCATCGCTGTGTGAACCTTACTATTTTACACATGCACACTAATTATATACCAAATACAATGAGCTTAATTATGTACCTAAATTGTATTTGCAATAAAAAATATTCAAATTTTATTTATTTATTTCAAAATGGTAACTTATTTGCTGTCAATACTGTACTGACGTAATCATTAAAATACTGTATTATACTTCAAAATATATTTAACTGCAACTATTAATGCAAAAAAGGCTTAACTAGAATAGTTTGATTTAACACAATTTAACACATCATAAATATTACATTAAAAAGTTTTAATAATATCTATATATCAAAAGTAATAGCCATAGAAATAACGTGCATTGAATTCTCAGTATTGTTTAAACTTGAAATTTAGGTTTATACAAAACGAAACAAAATTTTGTTTATAGTTATGTATTAAAACAAATTTAATTGAATAAATTCAACTAATAAGCACTAAAAGTGCAGATAAAATTTAATTTAATTGTATGAATATGCACACACATATGTATATGCACACACATATGTATATGCACACACATATGTATATGCACACACATATGTATATGCACACACATATGTATATGCACACACATATGTATATGCACACACA